CCTTGACTTCTTGAACAACGATTAATAACACGGTTCACTCCTCTCCGAACAATGTTCGAACGAGGGTGTTTGATGTTTTTGATGGTTTTTTGGGGACAAACTAAGTTAATTACACCTACTCCTATGGAGGTTCATTGAGAGCTCCAAAAACTAAGGCTATGGCTAATTTGTAGAGAAAAAGATAAAGTTTGACATAGTGTGTCAAATGGTTGGTTGTGGAACCTTTGCTTCGTCTTCGTTTCTCCTATTTATAGTCATCCCTTGTAACCGTCGTGCAACCGCCCCTTGGTAACCGCTGCTCCACTGCTTGGTGTTTGATGTAGCTTTCTTGATGCATTGACTGTCTTGCGTGCTTGCCACTTGATAGCTAACCCCTTGTGCCATGGAGGTGTCTTGTTTGGTGAGTGAAGGCTTCACGCTTGGTGGTACTCATGCTAACCACCTTGACACCCTAGTGCTTGACCCCCTTGGACGGTGTCATGCATGACCCCCCTTGTGCTATGGGTCTCAACACTTAGCCAGATTTTGGCTCTCATGGTATCACGCTTGACCTCATGCATGACCTCCCTTGTGCTTGACCCCCTACACTTAGCCAAATTTTGGCTTTCTTCGCCACCACGTCTAGGGACTCGCTAGACTAGCGTTGCCCTTCTTCACTTGCCAACATCGACTCACCTTGGATGGCATCATGCTTGACCCCCTTGGACGGTGTCATGCATGACCCCCCTTGTGCTATGGGTCTCAACACTTAGCCAATTTTCGCCTTCTTTCCCATCACGGTCTAGCGCGATGACCCCTTTGCATGACATCATGCTTGACCCCCCTGGGACGATGTCATGCATGACCCCTTGGACGAGATCATGCATGACCCCCTTTGACGAGACCTCCTTGGACGAGGTCATGCATGACCCCCCTTGTGGTTGGGTCTCCATACTTAGTCAAATTTCATACCAAGGGGTGGAGGCATCGTCCGACTATGGAGGCCACGGAGACGGGTCGGCCATTGTATAGAGAAGAAGAAGTTTGGCCACTTAGGCCCAAAAACCCAACCCAACAAGCCCAGCTAGCTCTTTTAATCATTAATGTTGAGCTGGCCTTATAAATCACTATCATTCCTTGAAAATAATCAATGTGGTATTGAGTGATTTTTTTAGTGGTAAACAAGTAGAGAATGGATTAAGTAACTACATGAATGATAGATAACAGGGAGAGCTGTTTATTAAGGAATAAGTAGATGAATGATAGATAATAGGGAGAGCTGTTTATTAAGGTTAGTGGGAGACGATACACTTGTTCATCATTTGCAATCTGAACTTGTTCTTCAGAGATTTTCCTTCGAGTTGGGCGTTCAATATGTGTATCAATAACTAGTTAAGGTAAGCAAGCTAAGCTACCCTTCCTAATCGGTTGGTTTCCTTGCCTTGGAAAAGGGATAATAATAAAGATTCTCTTTTCCGAAATTTCATCCCATCCCGTGGGTTTTGCGCTAAGACAAAATCCTGACGTGAATGCGATAGGGGCCGAAGAGAGAGAGAGAGAGACAGACATAGTCACGTAGATGGACCGGAATGTGGGGAGAGCATGGGTGTCAACCAGCGGGTGGATCTACTTTGACTTTGATCCACTGAAAAAAACGGGTCGCATGTATTCGTCAGGCCGATCGTTACAAGATACCGGGTTGAAGGTCAAATTGTGTTTTTTTTTATTTGGTTTGCGAAATGCGCCTATTTATCGATTTTTCTTTTCACATAACTCAATTTTTGGAATTCTTAGTTGAACATTTGAATACTTATGTTATATAAGTGTGTGTGAATTTTCACTATATGTTGGATCTAAGTACGACATGTTATTTTGGTGTAATGTTATGTGTTATTACTCATATGTTAGATGAGATTTGATATAATTTATCAGGATAAGTACAATATAATGACTCTTTTCATATTTCTGGGTTAAAACGGACTAAAACGGATGACCCGTTAACCCTTAACCCACTAGTTCGACCGGGTCCGGGTCAACCCACCCGCGGGTTGACAACCTTGAAAGAGAGAGAGGCAGCCGGCGAGCTGGGGGGTTGAGAATTGAGGTTTTTTCTTTCATTTCCCCCACCACCTTCACCACCAACAATCCAGCATTGCAACAACAAAGACTACTCATTCATTCATTCACCTCCATTTCTTCCTCTCCTCTTTTCTTAAAATATGGAAAATTTGCATGCAAACCCAACGCACGGCAGCAAAAGGGTGGTTTCCTTTTTGCCGGTCTCTCCCTACCGTCACGTCCTTCTTTTTTTTTCACCCGCCGGCCCCTTTCCTGTACAAATTTCCCCCCCACCTTCATCATCCATTTCCGGTTATGCCCGATTCTCACCCTCCCCCTTTTCTTTTCCTTCAAGGGAAATGAAAAGAAAGGGAAAAGCAGAGGACACAAAATCCACTTACAGGTGGGTTTCTGGATTAATTAAACAATTAATTAATTAGTATGGGTGGGGTACAGGCATGAATAAACAAATGGTATTAACATTCTCTTATGATGATATGATCAGAATCCTCAGTTACATTAATAATAATTGTTGCCACTTTACACCTGGAATTCAGTGATGCATGCAGCAACAAGGGAGAGAAGATGTAGAAGTAGAGAGAATTAATACCCACCTCACCTAGACCTTGCTTGACCCTTTCTCTATCTTTGTCTCATTCCCTTCATTAATTACAGGAGTAGGGGGTTGCTCCTTTTATTGAAATTTGTTGGTTCTGGTTTGAATTTTTATTACTTTTCAACTTTTCAATTTGAGAAAGATATATACTTTTCTCTATCACATTTTGAATAAAAAAATAAAATAAATATACATTTATTCGATTCTTCTCAAACTTGTGTTAATATCCAATTGGTATAACATTTGAAGAAGAAATGTATGAATTTAGGCGATGATATTTACTCGTTACAACTTTACAAATTTATCGAGTGATCATTTATAGTGACAACTTCATGAGCAAAAATGAATGTAGTAGTTGTAAATTCTAAACTATGTAAGCAAAATTTTACAGACACCGGTGATGTTGACTGTAGCATTGTGATAAAAGGCGTGTTTTACACACACGCAAAAACAGTGGTACATCATAGACACGCCCTGTAAAAAATATTTATCATTCAGGTCACAAAAGATAGAAACCGAACTCTAGCTATAGCTAAGTTACAAATCATATCATTTGTACAAAAAAAGGTACTAATTATATTGATACGCTACAAGTTACACTGAAATTCAACCAACACAGAGTTACACGTGTCCGTATCAGTTCACTATCATTAAGTCTGACATTTATTAATCACATTGTACCACATTATTATCATAACCGAACAAGTATTCATTAACCGAAGATCAACAACTATTCTGTTTTAAAACGTATCAATCATAATGTTCTTGTAGCAATATGAACCGACTCTTTAGGAATTTCGAATTTTCAGTATAGTTTTTAAAAAAAAATTAAAATTGATTTTAAAAAATAGAGGAGAAATGTAAATAAAAATTGGAAAAGTAGGAAGGGAAGGGTGTGACGTGTGAGGTCCACCGGGAAAGAGTGAGGGACCTGCTGTGAGTGATGGTGGCAACTTTGTCCGCACGTAGGCAATAGAATTAGAATTAATTAGCAAAAAAAAAAAAAAAAAGACTAGTCCCGATTTTTATATAGAGAGAGAGAGAGCGCGCGCGCACCATTCACTGTCGTGATGCGGCTGTAGGGGATTGGGTCCACCGACTTGTTCTTGTGGGGCCCATCACTCTCCGCCTTTCTTCCTTCCTCTTTTCTTTTCCTTCCTCTTTTCTTTTCCTTCATCTTCTTCCTAAGCCATACCGTGAACCCCAAAAAGAATAGAAAAAACCAAAAAGAAATAAAAACAGAGGAAACCGCAAGAAAACAGATGGATTTGGGAAGCAGGAATAAAACTGAGTGATGTATGAGATAGAGGAGGTGGTGGTGTTATTATCTGTGCATGACACCAAACCATACCTTTAAAACTAAAGTCTGCCTTTGCTAGTCCCAATCCCCAAAACACGCACAAAAACCTAAAACCCTAAATCATTTGCATCTGTTTTTAACCACTCAGAGAGAGTGAGAGTGGGAGCAAAAGAGATCACATTGTTTCCCAAGAAAATAGAAACAGATTAAGTTTAGGGTTCTTTAGGGTAGATAAATATATAGGGTTTATGGTAGGGATGGTAAAGCTAGCAGTTCCGTTCGATCGTTAAATCGAAGACTGTCAACAAAATTTCCCTTGTAGCAATTGGTAATTATTTTGGCTAATCATAATAGTAAAGGACGAACTTAATTAGTAGTTCGATAACAGTTCGAAAGAACTAAAAACTAAATGAAAATAAATTGGATTTTTGCTGGATGGTTTTGTTTTTGGTTATTAGTGGTGATTCTTAGTAGCTTATCAAATTTAACTGAACCGAATCCAATTAGCAAATAATTTTTTTTAAACTATTCAAATAAGATTCGATTTTCTTACAAACCTTTTTAGACATTTTGATTTCTCTTCAATCGAATAACCAAAACTGACTTTAACACCCTAGTTCATCATTATATCCTATTGACACTATTAGTAATCCAGAAGTTCGTAACAATATATTTAAATACGGGTATTAATTAGTCTATCCATGATCAACTATCTTCAAATGAGTTTTCTTGTGTGTGGTAATAGCCTAATAGGGCGTAACCGCGGAAGGACAACCACATACATAATTTCAGTCTGATATGGATGAGACCTGATTTTGAATGCGAGAATCTTTGGAATGAAATTAATGCTTCAGCAACTTCGACTGTTATATTGTTAACGTAATATTGAGATTTTCCTCATAGTTCGAGAAACGTCATATATAGTTCTGTCAATTCAAATTCAAAATCATAATAAAAGAATAAGACAAAAAAATTCTCAAAAGAAGATGGTAAAAAAGTTTGTTTGCTAGCTAGGATAAATAAAAGCAAGCACTTGCATATAAAACCCTTTTACCATAACTTGTTCATAGATAGATAGAGAGAGTAGATGGCCAGTACTTCTCATCAATTTCACCATCTTCATTCTTCCCCCCTCTCTCTCTCTCTCCATATATATACAGAGAGACAGCCTATGGCTCAGAGCTTTTTCCCCCCTTTCTGTTTTGCTCTCTCCCTCTCTCTCACACCCTACCCTCCTCCTTCCCTGTTTCAATCTTATCTCTTTCTCCCCCTTTCCACTTTCTCCATTTCTAGGGTTGTTAATAACTCAGAAGCACTCCATCCCTTGCACAAGAAAAAACCAATTCACAGTCTGTGCACCCTCTCTTTCCCCTTTCCTTCTCCTCAATCATCCATCTTCACTCTGAGCCAAAATTCTGCATGTGAGATTAATTACAGCACAGCAACAACAGCTACTACTCCTCTCAACAATTCTTCCTTCTGCCTTTGCTTCTTGAGGAATAATTAACCCAAAGAAGAAGAAGAAGAAGCACAAGAAGGAGAAGAAGAATAAGTGAGAGATGACGACCTCTTCATCATCATCGGTTCCATTCTTTGGGATGGGCAGGGAGGAAGTGGATGAGCAGATGATGAAGCAACAATCCGCGGCCGCGGTTGGAGTTGGATTGGGAGGATTGCATCATCATCATCATCCACATCTCCATCTCCACCACCACCACCAACTCCTCCAGCATTCATCTTCCCTTTTGAGTAATTCTCAGCTCACCACCGCCGGAGCACAGCAGCAGCCGCCTCCGCCGCTGTCTGCCGCAAGCTCAGCCGCCGGCTCTGGCCCTCCTCAGCTCAAGAGGAAGCGCAACCAGCCTGGAAATCCAAGCAAGTACCTCCTATTGGCTACCTACTTTGCTTTGCTTCTATATCTTCATCCAATTCTTTGTTAAAATTGAATCCTTTTTCTTTTGCGTCCTCAAATGAGAGATACAAAAAGAAAGAAGAAAGAGAGAACAAGATCTACCCTCAATTACCTTACAACCACTATTTACTACAGCACACACAAAAAAAAAAAAAAATCATAATCAAAGACAAAATTCTATCAAGTACATGTACATACTTGTGAGGAATCCTCCATTTCCAATTTGCTTCTTTTTCTTCTCGCGAAAAAAATGGCACAATCACGAGCTAATGGAACCAACTGGTTTGACACGATGATCAGGACAATCTACAAAGCTAATGTTGTTCCAAAATTCAGCAAATGAACAAAACAATAACTCATCTATTCATACGAGTCATCGAAACAAAATGTTTTGACCTCTTGTTTAGTTGTTGAATTGGCACCAAATTCCAAACTTTAGCTATGTTCCATAGTGGGAGTAGTGGGCATGGTGTGATTATCTGTGGCGTCTGTTTCTGTGTCAACACAATTTCGGGTCAATCTGTTTGTTTGTTTCTTAGCTTTTGGTTGTTTCTAACAGTGGGTTTTCTTGTTTTTGTGTCTCCCTTTTTTCCTCGCCCTTCTTCCTCCTCTTGTTCGGTTCCGTGTTTTGGTTTCTGGCGATGACGATGTTGCATACACAAACACACATACATATAACGTCGGCCTGCCACCCCCGGATAGATCCAGACGCGGAGGTGATCGCGCTGTCGCCAAAAACCCTAATGGCGACCAACCGGTTCATCTGCGAGGTCTGCAACAAGGGCTTCCAGCGCGAGCAGAACCTGCAGCTCCACAGGAGAGGCCACAACCTGCCGTGGAAGCTCAAGCAGAAGAACAAAAACGAAGTCGTGAAGCGCAAGGTGTACCTGTGCCCGGAGCCGACGTGCGTCCACCACGAGGCTTCGAGGGCGCTGGGGGACCTCACGGGGATCAAGAAGCACTACTCGAGGAAGCACGGCGAGAAGAAGTGGAAGTGCGAAAAGTGCGCCAAGAGGTACGCGGTTCAGTCAGACTGGAAGGCGCACTCGAAGACCTGTGGCACCAGGGAGTACCGATGCGACTGTGGCACCCTCTTCTCCAGGTACACACGATATAATCACAACTTTCTTTTTAATTCGCGAAATTCGTTATTGAACCTTCTCCCAATGAATCGCGCGCGATTTGGATTAGATAATCGGGGGGACATGAGTAGTGGTGCAGGTGGGTACTGTTATACACCGTGGGTAGTGTGTTTGTTGTTTTGTTTTTCGTATGCTTACTTCATACTTGTTTCGTTTTTTTTTTTTTCTTTCTCTTCTGGTACATAAGATTCCTTCTAGGGGTTAGAATTTATATTATTTATTGTTTTTTCTTCTTCTTCTTGTTCTTCTTCTTGTTCTTCTTCTGTGGGTATGAGTTACGTTATGATGTGGCTAAGTGGACAGGTGGAAGTAGAGAGAGTAGAGAGTCAAAGCAAGGGTGAGTGAGTGTGTTATTCGAAACGGTTTCAAGTAAAGAGAGAGAGAGCTATATGGGAGTAAAGCGAGGCACGTGAAGCAGCCAGCCATGGCAAAACTGCCATGCTCGTCATTTTTTTGTTTTTGGGTTTGTTCTTGTGTGTAGAAAAAGAGTGTCTGGGTCTCTCACTTTCAAAGTTTTCAACAAACCCATAACCCAAGACAGAAAAAAAAGGTCTCTGCCGGCCGCCTCAAACGATGAAAAGTTGTTTGGAAAGCCATAAATTGTAGTAACAAGCATGATAATGCACACGTAATAACATGTCCAAACAATGGAAAGTATGGATTTTGGGTCTTGAAATTGAAGGTGGTATACTATATGGTGAACCCTCGAAAACAGCGCCATGAATGTCTCTCGATCGAGCTAGCAAGGTTACAGAGATAACTAAAGAACAAAAGATAAACTGAAAGGATTTCTTCTTCATTCATGATAATCGAACTAACGTCGTGGATACATATATATATATATAGACGATAACCCTAAACTAATCCTAGTTCTACTCGGCAACCTTTAACTTGAGCGTTACTCAACTAATACAGACTCACTAATCCTACAAGCTTATGTCTCCTAATTGATCCCTACTCCCTATTAGTAATAATAATAATACAAATAGAAGACCCCCCATGTCACATACTCGTAACACAATGACTATCTCTCTCTCCCTCTCTCTCTCCTCTTCTCTCTATTCACGTGTTGCTAGCTAAGACATTGCCTGCCAAGTGCAAGCAAGGAGGCAGGCAGGGTTTAGTTGTTTGGGGGTGGGGGCTGGGAGTAAGAGAGGAGAAGAGGAGGGGGAAGGGGGAATTGTTGTTTTGCCATGTTTGTAAGGAAGCGGGTTGGCTGCTTGTGTTCAGGCCTGAGATGGTGCAGCTGCTCCTTTTCGTGATAAGCTCCTCCTGCCTGCTCTAGCTCCTCTCTCTCTCTCTCTCTCCCTCTCTATGAATATGATCAAGGTTGTCAAACCGGTTTATGCCAGTGTACCGGCTTAGCAAGTGGAATGGTTCAACCGGTGGCACATACCGGTTTGTGCCAGTTCATGCCGGTCAATATTACAAATAAAATATAAATACTCATATTTAAACATGACATTTAACGTCAATACTTAAACATTTATAATTGAATCCAACAAATAACATCAATATTTAACTTTTATACTCATAAAATAAATAATAAAATAATTTTTATCAATTAAATTCTCTAAAATAAGGTCATTTTACTTAGAAATTCGTATATCGATCATGCCGGTCATACCGGTTGTGTCACGCCGGTTTTATGACCGGTACCGGTTGAACCCGGTACAACCGGTGGCACGCCGGCCGGCGTGACAACCATGAATATGATTGTTGCACAATAGTAAAATGCCAGTTTGGGCAACAAAGCTAGAGTCCCTCACCAGAAAGCTTTGCTCTCTATTTTTTACCTAGGCATCATCATCACCACCATCATTGCATTCAATTTGCTAGCTGCGAGCTCTTCAACCTTTTGAATAAAAATTGAAGCATGAATTTATGGGTTTGATTGATTCACTTTCATCATGTTGGAATACAATACATTCTCTTGTTGCATTTATTGAACTCTCACTTCCTATTTTGGCATCTCACATTTCCATCACTCCGCTACTATTACTATATACTACTTCCATTAATTTCCCACCTTCCACCCGCACTTCATTCATTGCCATCTTCATTAAATTTCGCACACTATTACCATTTTTATTCCTTTTTATTTTTTCCTATGGGTAATCAAGCATTATTGTCGTACTAATACTAATCATCTCTAGTTACAACTTACCACCTTTCATGTCCCCGGTTTAATATATCTTAATTAATTATCTAGCCAGCTAGGCCGGCCTGAATGATGATTTGTTAGCGCACGTTTGTCGTTTTTGAGTTTGCACAGAATTCTCCCTCAGTTTGATTCCAATAATTAATTCTTCTCCCTAAAAAATGTTTTTTTTTGTCTCCATATTTATTTGCATTACACTTAATTTCACTGCGTGCGTGTTCTCTGCGGTCCAAGTTAATTAATTAATAATCCCGAGAAAAATATTAATTTTTTTGGCGTCCCGTGACTGTCCAACCCAATGTTTCAAAAAGGAAATTATGTAGAATCACATATATGTTTATTTATCCAAATTGGTGCCAGTGAGGAGCAGCTTATATATAGCTGCATGCTGTGTTTTAACCTATTATTTGGATTCCTCATGTTTATATCTTTGCTACAGCCTACAGACATATATGTATATGTTACACTGAAGAAGGACACCTCACTCACATGTCACCTCTTTTTTCTCTTTCCTTTTTTCCCCGTTAGCTAGTCATCCCCTATTTTCTGGCTATCCCTTGACTTCAACACCTGTATTTTAAATATATACTAATAGTACTTACTATTTTATATTTAATTAATTACCATGGTAATAATTTGTGGAATGCATGCAGGCGGGACAGTTTCATCACCCACAGAGCATTCTGCGACGCGCTGGCTCAGGAAAGCGCCAGAAACCCTCCACCCTCCCTCGCCTCCCACCTCTTCACCGGCGCCGGAGGCGCAGCAGCCGGCCTCGCCAACAACATGACCCTAGGCATTTCCTCCTCCACCGCTCATTCATCCGCCGCAGCCGACATCCTCCGCCTCGGCGGATCCACCACCGGCCCCGGACAGTTCGACCACCTCCTCCCTCCTTCGACGACGACAGCCACCTCGCAGCAGTTCCGAAACCAGCCCGGCCACTTGTCACCTTCCTCCGCCGCTTTCTTCATCCCACAACAAGACACCTCCGACCACCACCAAAGCAGCTACCACCAGCCATTCCACCATGCCCTCATGCAACAGTTTTCGTCGGATCCCAACAACGCGGGCGGCGCAGCCGCCAACCAGCTCTTCAGCCTAGGGTTCGACAGCACCACCACCACCAACAACAACAACAACATGATGACTCTCTTCGCCAATAATAACAACCACGGCGGCGGAGGAGGCGATCATCAGCACCAGATGATGATGGGATCGTCCACCGGCGGCAGCGTCCCCCTCTTCAGCTCCTCCGTCCACCAACAGCAGATGAACAACATGGTGGCTCACATGTCGGCGACGGCGCTGCTCCAGAAGGCGGCGCAGATGGGGTCCACCACCAGCTCCAACCCCAACGCCACCACCAGCGCGTCGCTTCTCAGAAGCGCCTTCGCCGCCGGCCCCAACCACAACAACAACCACCAAAAATCATCGTCCGGCGAAAAGCAACCGAGTCTCGGGACCTTCGGCGGGTCGTTCTTCGGCGACGTGGACACGGACAACGGCAGCAGCAACAATCTCCACGACCTCATGAACTCCTTCACCTCGGCCGCCAACAACAACAATAACGGTAGTAGTAGTAGTAACAACAAGAAGCTGACGAGGGATTTCCTGGGAGTTGGACACGTGGCGGCGGCGGTCAGAGGCATCGCCACCACTATCTCGCAGCAGCAGCAAGTAGGGGCGGCGTTGGAGGGAAGCTCGTCGTTGGATTCGGAGAGGAACAATAATAACAGCATGGGGAGTCACTCGTCTTTCGGAGGAAACCCTAGCTTTCAATGAAATCATGAAAGTCAACCACGCACGCCACTTACTTACTACTACTAGGGAATTGGAAAAGCAGTATGATGATGATGACGACGACGATGATGATCACCATGTTGGCGCAAAAAGGACTCGAGGTACGTCGAAAAATTCGGAAAAAGCTAGCTAGCTCGTTGCTGTAATAATTCTCTTTTAATTTTAACCTTTTTCACATATATGCGTTAGAGTAGTGTTGTTCTTTTGCTTTTTTACTGGTTGGGGGTGACGGTGTAAGTAACACTGTGACTGACAAAGATAGAGTAGTTTTGCATGGTAAGATGGGTCCACGAGATGGAGTGGCGAGATTTTGTGTTGTTTCCCTTGTCTTTATATATCAATTTTCTCTGGTATTTTAGTTAAGAATTTTTAAGAAAAGAAAGGAGGAAGGCAATGATGGTAGTAATATGTATGCGAGGATGGGAATAATATTAGGCTGGCAAAGGGGAGGGAGTCACGAGAGTTGGTCCTTAGGATTGGATTCCATTTGGTCCTTGTTCTTGTTCGACCATGATAGAATGTCGTCGACTGTCTACCCCCACCCACTTGCCGTTTCTGCCTTGTTCCGGTATTTCTTTACTTGCACTACAAAATTGGGAAGCATTAGGGACAAGTATAAAGGACGACTGTTATATTTTGACCCCGGAATTATAAATCTAAGTGATATAAGGGACAAGCTTGTAAAACTGTCCCCATAAAACTAATAATCAATATTTCGTTAATTTAGAATTTTGTTAGTTGTCCCTAAAATAACTAGTTTGGGCGAAGGGGAAGATTGTGGTGGATTTCAAGTTAAAAAATAAATTGATTCTGTGGATTCTTTCCTTAAGAGATAACCGGCGCACAAGTTGGGTACGGGATTTTAGTGAATTCTCTAACAAACTCATTTTTAGAATTTCTTGTTTGCTTTATGAGCTCTGATGGTAGAATTAGTTATAATCTTTCCTTGGGAATTCATGCCAATGGTGCATAGTTCTAATCTTATGTTGTGTGTTATTTTTATTCTTAGATTTATGGTAATGCCTATGATACTTTCAATTCATCATAATTTGGAGAAAGCGGTTTATCATTTTAGTAAATCGGTCAATTGTTTATGTCAAGTCATCTATCGCTTTGGACAACTGGTCGACCTCTTATGTCAAGCAGTCTAACACTTTCGGTAATCGTTCCATCGCTTACGACAACCAATCGATCGATTATGATTGTGGGAGAAGATTGTGGGAGAACAATCACCCGAGAAACTTGTTATTTATACTCCAATGTTTGTACTTAGGTCAACTCTCTTACGAGAAATTAAGCATATTAGTATTGAGTGTATGTAATTAAATATGACGATTTCACTAGAGTTCATGCATCTAGTCAACTATTATTAAACATGATCGATCGCTTGTTAAAAGTGATTGACAGATTTCTGCGAGTTAAGATGACTTGTAAATCACCATAGTAAAGTTCATAATCGTTATAATCATTACTATGATTATTATTCTTATCGATCTCTAAATTGTTGGTTGGTGATTTGATGGTGATATGGAAAATGACGGCATACAAGGGAGAAAATTAAAGTAAAGAAGAGGAAAATAAAAGAATAATAGAAAGAGGAGCACTTTCTATTATGTTTTAAAGTATTGGTGATTTAAAGTATAATTTGAAGTTTTATAATAACGTTAAATGTACAAATTGAAGTTGTACCATGAGAGAATTTGACATTTATTTTTTGATACAATTTTAAGTTGTAAAGTTATACAATAATATAAAGTTACTACTTCAAGTTGTACTATAAAAACAAAAACAAAGTACCAATACTTTAAATATTGTAAAATTCCTCTAGAAAGAGTAACTAAAATAAATGAGTAGTTTTTTTTTTCTTATGATTATCTTTGAGCTTACGTTTCGCAGGTCAATTAGGCCCAAACCTTAATCCCAGAAAAACTTTTAACCCCTAATCCGAGAACCTTCCATCTCATCTCAACCATTAAATTCGTTTAACTAAATCCTCACCATCTATTAACTTACAAAACCCTACCTCCGTTACATATTTGCATTTCACTCTGCCGGTAGACTTCCGCATTCTTCCTTTTTATTTTCTCTTTCAATAGAGTCGGCTGCCGGGGTTAGACCAATCCCTTTCCCTTATTTATTTTTATCGCCGCTTCTTATTTCCCTCTCTTCTTCACAATCCAAGTTGGTGATGCTCTTACCCATATTGTAGCGTCGTCGGCATTCCCTTCTACTTTGTATTAACCGGTACAGATTCAATCTATTTCTTTTAAGTTTTGTTTGAAATTTTGATATAGTTTAGCATATTATGAGTTTTGTTTTGCAACGGGGTGAATGTGTTCGTAAGCTTTTGTTGGATCTATCCTTTCTTGAGTTTCATACTTTTTTTATTCTCTTCTTGACTAGGCACCGGTGATGACGATGATTAGGCACGCAGAGGGAAAAATAAAGCACGGTTCAAGTGAAGCAATGGTAACTAATGGCAGCTAGCTACCGGAGGTCTGGCAAGAGTAGCATTCGTCATTTTGATTTTGCGTCTTTCCAAGACTTTGTATACATTGTCCATATTGTATTCTATCAGGTGTACATTTTTTTTTACATAAGGAATGAGATAACAATTGAGATATTATTCAGACTCGATCACCTCATAGGGACAGGGATAACTAATCGTCCCGACATATTTCTAATTTGTATCCCCAACTAGTAAGATCAGAGACCATTAGTCGTGCCTAAAAGTTGTTTCCAAAAATACAGTATAAGGGACCAGTTGTTGTCCTCAAATATATAAATTTTCGGGGACGATTTGTTGACTCTAATTTTAGATTGATGGGAACGACATTTAGACCCTATGAAAAAGAAAAGGGGACGATATATGGTTCTCCGATAGACACAACACGATCACGAAATGAATTATAGGGGACATCATTTTGTCCTTAAAAAAATGTTGAGGGGACGACTTATTGTCATCGAAATAATGGTTATAGGGACGACATGTCGTCTTTCATGTAAAATAAATGGATGCCAACTTTTGAGTTGCGGGGATGGCTGTCGTCCCTAGTATCGGGGACGACCTATATTTTGTCGTCCCCAAAAAAATAGAGGACAAGCGTATAAGGGACGAAATATTGGGGACGACTAAATGGTCCCCAAAAAATATGGGGACGATTTTGCCTATTTTCGGGGACGACAAAAGTCGTCCCCAAACCTCCTCTTTTTTGTAGTGTTGAAATGATTCATTCACTAATCACATGATTGTCTATAGCCTGTTAGAGAGTGATATAAGATCCAACATAATCTTCTCTCAACAACTCGAGTTATTGGAATCAGCGGGTTCTTGACATGGTATCAGAGCTGGTTTGACCAAGTGGTCGTGTGTTCGAATCTCCACGACCCCAGATATTAACAGTTGATTAAAGCACACGGTATAGTGATCGTCTGTGCAAACTTCAATTTCATGAGTTGGCTTTCATTTGAGGGGGCGTGTTAGAGAGTGGTATAAGATCCATCATAATCTTCGCTCAACAACTCGAGTTATTGGAATCAACTGGTTCTTGACATAGCCAAACTATTATCACAATAACCCACAAACAACTAGTTTGCCAGCTAGCTCACCACCTTGTATTAATACTGTCCTTCATGTATGTTGTTAAGTGCAAAAATTTGAAGAGTGTTTTGGTTAGTTATAGTTACATATACCTAATAAGGGGGAAGCTATACCTAAACAGCAAGAATATGGTAACTGTAAATTGTAATGCATGGGCTGACTACTGACAGCACAATGGCGGGAGGGGGAAAAAATTCAAAAGTACCACTATTAAAAAAAAAATCCAAAAATATCACCCAACCCTAAAAAATTCCAAAAATATCACATTTTTTCAAAAATTGCCACCCCACCCTGCGGTTTACACGAAAACCGCTGGGCGGGGGCACAGTTTTCTATGCAAACCGATGGGCTAAGGGGCGGTTATAAAAACCGTTGGCTGGGGCGGCGGTTGTGGGCCAAACCGCCACCTCACCCAGCGGTTTGGTCCAATTTTTTTTTCTTTTCGGTCAACTCCTAACTTCGGTCGAAACTTCAAACGAACGTAACTTTGCACTCGGGTATCCGATCGTAGCGATTTTTTTTTAATCCGAATAAATTTTTGAGATCTTGCAATGTCCCGCCTTCGTCTCGAAAAAACGTCATTTGCTACTCCGAACGAGCTTTTTTTTATTTCGTCAAACTTTGGGCGGCCATAACTTTGTGCTCCAAAATCCGAACGTCATGAATTTTTTTTTTGATTCCGCATAACTTTTCAAGATCTCCAACTTTTAAGATAATCATAATTTTGAAATGTACATGGATTTGTGAAAAGTAAAGGTAAAGTTATTCCCAAGGTCCCGTATATCCACAACTAATTCCTGTTTTGAAAATTTAATCCTAGTAAAAGTTGTAGATCTTGAAAAGTTATGCGAACTGAAAAAAAAATCGCTACAATGGGATACCCGAGTGCAAAGTTACGTTCGTTTGAAGTTTCGGCCGAAGTTAGGAGTTGATCGAAATTTTTTTTTTTTACCAAACCGCTGGGTGGGGTGGCGGTTTGGCCCAAAACCGCCGCCCCTCCCAGCGGTTTTTATAACCGCCCCTTAGCCGAGCGGTTTGCATAGAAAACCGCGCCCCCACCCAGCGGTTTTCTAGTAAACTGCAGGGTGGGGTGGCGGTTTCGAAAAAGAATAGTAATTTTAGAATTTTTTAGGATTGGATGGTATTTTTGGAATTTTTTTTTAAACAGTGGTATTTCTGAAAAAAGTCCGCGGGAGGGAGAGCCACCATGTACCACCTGTTGGAAATGTGTATGAATAGCTTTGAAAGCTATAGAGTCTCAAGTGGAAAAAACTACCACATTGGTAGTTTTACTTGGTGAAATGAGTATAAAGATAGGAGCCTCTCTCCTAAGGGCATGCCCCTTGGGGTGACCCACTTTTGTGGGAGAGGGAGGACCTAACGGACCACCACACACGCGCGCGCGCCGTCCGACCGACCGGTCGGTTGGTTGGATGGATGGCTTGAGACTATATACATATTTTTTGGAGAAATTCCGAACGAAATTAATTATTTAATAATTAATTATTAATCGGTTATTCTAAGGAATATTCCAAAGGATAATCGATTGAAAAGGTATATTCGAAGGATAATCTCCGCAGGATTTATCCTAACCGACGGTTTTAATTAAGGAAGTATTTATCTTCCTTAATTAATCCGACTTATTCCCCAAGCAAGAGGGTATATTCCTAGGGGTTCGGCTCCTATAAATAGCCGCCTCCCCAGCCCCTCTAAACACATCACAACGAGCATAAACACAAAAGAGAGAGTGTTCAGAGAACTCAGGTTTTCGCACAAAACCGCGAGTAGTCAGAGGAGCTGTTTTATCCTGGAGACGACCGGTTGATAGTCTGCCGTGCGCATCGAGGGCAGTGCCGCGAACGTCTTAAAGAAAGCGACCTAGTCCGCGACTCAGCTCCAGATTCGGTATCCTCATCTTGTTGTTGTTCCGTTTCTAACACCACCACATTAGAGTAACAAAATCTATGCGTAGCAACACACAGTCCA